GGTCTTCGGTCCCTGGAGATGAAAGGCGCGCCATTGGAAATATAAGGTTTTGCTTATATTTTGTATCATCTGATCTGTTGATAAGACATGTTTGTGGGAAGGGTCTTAGGTCCCTGGACACGTATACATAATTATCTAGATTCTATTGTTGAAAGCTTGGTTCGCTTCTAAGAACCCTATTCACTTGGCTCAGCAGTCATGCCTACACTGACATGAATTAGTTCTACTGACCATCCAGTTTGATTGGTATTAGGTGGTGATTAATTTAGTTTTAGGTTCTCTTGCATTGTATTCATTTCTTTGATAATATTGTGAATGTAATACCTTCATAAAATAATATATACAGGGTGACCCAGGGTTAAACCGCCAAACGTTAAGGGTCGGGTATTTGGGCAAAAATAAGACTTTTTTTCTAATGAACATATGTCCTAACTTGCTTTGTTTTCGATATACAAGGTGTCTGAGTTTTCAGAAAAAATCGGTTCTTCAATAATTACGGCAGATTAATAAACTCACAAGGCACATGTTGTCAGAATTTGACACAAACAAAACCCCAATCATTGGCGAAATTGTGCTCGGCTACCTCTGATCTGATTTTTGTTGAAATGTGCTTTTTCCTGTTGAATTCTAGGAAATGGTTTTTATTTTTTTTTCTCACAAAAGAATCGTGGTATAAGAGAACAAGAGACGAAGAAATATTTCTGATTGCTTAATCTAATGAAACAATATTGAACATACAAAAAAAAAGTCATACAATGACTTGTCCTAATATCAGTTAGATTACCCTCTATTACGTTATCAGTTTCCTAATAAAATAAAATAATAAAACAAAAATATCCTTATATCATTTTGATTACTTTCTGGGACGCCAATGGAAATAATTCAATTCGGATTACATCAAATGGAGCTCCGTTTCACCGCAAATAAGCATACCAAGTTTCATCGAAATCTGCCGTAAGTTCAAGCCGTAATTAATGAAGAACCGATTTTTTCTGAAAACTTTGACACCTTGTATATCGAAAACAAAGCAAGTTAGGACATATGTTCATAAGAAAAAAAGTCTTATTTTTGCCCAAATAACCGACCCTTAACGTTTGGCGGTTTAACCCTGGGTCACCCTGTATATACATTTCAGTTGTTTCAGTCAGTTTGAACTATAACTATGTCTGTTTCTTGTTGTTTCTGTTGGTTCTGTAGTACTGCTATCAGTTGTCCGGTTCTTGGTTTGGGAGGGGGTGTTAACGTGAGTACTGCTGGCTCATACAGATCTGAATGAGCAGCAGGCCACCCAGTAACAAACCTGCGACCAGACTAGGAGGCTTTGACAGTTTTGACAGTGTGACACAATTCTGTTCGAGACAATGAATAGATAAGAAGATCACTGTCAGCTGCAGTTAATTTACAAGAATAGTGTTCAAAAGTCTATTTAATATTCGAGAAAGTGTATAACCCAGTTCCTATATAACAGTCCATTGTCGATCCACAAATCCTTACAAATTCAATATCAATGCTTTGACGTATTTTTTCGGCTATCGGAAACATTTTCGCGGAGGAATATTATTTTCAGAGGCATCTGAAAGAAACTTCAACAACATAATAATATATAAATAAAATTCAAATGAAATTCGTCCTCCATTAGGACTCGTGAATTTGACAAATTTCGCGCATGCGCAAATAGGTATTCTCACCCGCAGACTGTCATTTGTTTCCTCAAAACTGGCTTCACTTATGGGAAAGGTGGATATATGTATGGTGAAATAGCTCCCTCTTACAAAACCCTAGACATTTTTGTAGACCTCTGGCCTAGTTGATTATGTCGAATTCTATAACCGTAGTAAGGCCGCGCAAAACTAACGCTAGATGGCGCTGTTCCCGAAGTGATCTTGCTACACAATGGTTGTTTTGTTTTGTTGTTTACATTTACGTATATTGATTCGTAATTTTAAAACATTGAGAAAAAGTGATTGATTCAATGAAAAAGATGTGAAATTTTCATTATATCTGTGAAGTATATGTGGCACGATGTTCCCTATACGCCATCTACAGTCAATCCGGTGCGGCTTTGCTACGGTGTTTCGCGGTCTACACGTTTTGGAAAGAAACAATTGACAAGTGGTTACACCAGCTTATGAGTCTACCCAATGACGGCTAAATGGACTGTCTGACGAGTACTACATGACTGTCCAATCACTCAGTTCAGTGTATTCTCCACCAGAGGGGTTTACTTGCCGTCCTTTGCGGAGAAGTCATTTGTTTAGCTCTCATTCGGTTGTTTTCCAATAACATAGGTTATATTGAATTATTATCATTTTATCAAGTGTCAAAACTGTGTCACTGTCAGGTCCCTGATGTGTTCTGTTGAATATCGATAAATTCCTTTACTTTTTCGGATTCTCCTTCAATCAAGCATTCTTCTTTGTGTTCAGTTCTGGTAGTTTATTTATTCAGGTTTGCTAGTTGTGTCTTCATCATGTATTTACAGCCTTCTAGCGTATGAAATTAAATGTAGTACTCATACCCAGTGATAAACTCCACAGCAAGAATGGTCGAATTTTATTTTGGAAGGCATTGGTAAGAATATGATTTTTCATGTACACTTTTCTGATGATTATCAATTTCAGCCTCGATTCCACCATTAGAACACTGGTGTTAATTCTGGTGTTGAAGTTTGTGTCAATGATTTTGGAAGACACTATAGACTATAGAGTGATGATCAATATAGCACTACATATGGCGACTTATCAGTATCGGGACATACATTCAGAAAGGTTCGCTTACCATAATTTTCAAGGTATGTTTAGTCTGCATTGTTGTTGCGTAGCTAGGTAGGGTAGGAGTAGTATTGTTGAAAACTGTTTCATGTGAGCCTGATGGTTCAAGCCATCAATGCAACGTATTCAAACTTAAATTACCATATACCTACAGGATGGGCATCCCAAAAAGCAACACCAAGAATGAAAGAGGAATGGAATTCAAGGTATATGCTCTTTGAATGCCAGAGAATCATCAATCTAGGCCAACATCTGGAGTTTTTTCGAGTGCCGCAACTACAATTTGAGGTATTTTGTGTTCTTGCTTCCTGGCAAATATCACAGAATAATGATACTATCAGAGATTTTCAAAAATGTTTTTCACTGCTGTGATGATTTTGTCACAAAAAATTTAAATTAATTATTTGGCCTAATTTTATGTACCTATTATGTATGCCCATCTATCAATGAGATCCTGTATAGCTTTCTTGTTTTCTTGATAGAAGTATGAGATGGTATGTGAAATAAGGTAAAATGTTGTCACTGATACTAGCCCACTAACTATAGCTTCCCCAAATAGATCTAAAAAGATGAAAAGAGTGTGCAAACTCAACTTTTGAAATGCATATAACTATTTCTTTCTCCACAAAGTTTTGAAAATGGTTGAAAAATATGGATTGATAGATAGATAGATGATATGTATAGAAAGCATTTATTCAAGTTATATAATAATTTTATTCCATAGACAGTCACCATAATGAACAATTTGCTTTTCCATTGAATTAGCTGATGATGAGCTTATATTAGAACTCAAAACATGCTTCTTCTCTGCTGATTTCTGAATAGATAATAGAAATTGTGGGATACACAATAATATATCATCTTCCTCTTTTATTTCCAGTGTCCAAAGGATCTCCAGGTAACCTAGCTTCATCCTCCAAAGTCAAGATCCCACATCCAAGCCGTTTTATATTCATTGTGTTGCCATCCCCAGAACCTATAAAGAAATATTGCTATAGAACATTTAATGATTTTGAAGCTGGCATAGTTCTATCAATTTCGCAATACAATTTATCTGTATGTCTGATATGAAATATATAAGTATGAAATGATAAATTGATATTTAATTTGCTATTCATGGAGATACCTGATGTTGTAGTTAAAATTCCTGATTATTTTTCTGAACCCTCACCTAATTAAACAACTGTTCACAAAGTTCACCTTATAGTAAATATTCTGGTTATGCATAGATAGCATCATCAGAATTGAATGTCTCCAGTCATCATTCAATCAAACCTCATGAAGAGCTGCTTCAACATTGTGTTGCAGTACATTTTACTTTGAGAATACAGCAGTATCTGGTTATTAGGGCTACCATGGCTCTTATTAGGCAGTTAAAAATTCAATCAATGAAATAATTGAACATGTCCTTACCTATTCACGAATTGACGAAGATGATTTCCACTCAAATGGCATTATTATGTATGCATATAATAGCGTTATTTGGCATGAACACTCCTAACCACTTCATTTTGTTGGCCTTTTCACAGTTTTACTTGGTATCTCGAACAAAGCTCTCCAATCTCGAGTGACAATGAGTGACAGGCTGACAGTGAGAAAATTTGTCAACAAATAATGCAGGATCATGAATGCAGGAAAGGTGGATATATGTATGGTGAAATAGCTCCCTCTTACAAAACCCTAGAAATTTTTGTAGACCTCTGGCCTACTTGATTATGTCGAATTCTATCACCGTAGTAAGGCCACGCAAAACTAACGCTAGATGGCGCTGTTCCCGAAGTGATCTTGCTACACAATGGTTGTTTTGATTTGTTGTTTACATTTACGTATATTAATTCGTTATTTGAAAACATTGAGGAAAAGTGATTGGTTTAATGAAAAAGACGTGAAATTTTCATTATATCTGTGAGGTATATGTGGCACGATGTTCCCTACGCCATCTACAGTCAATCCGGTGCGGCCTTGCTACGGTGTTTCGCGGTCTACACGTTTTGGAAAAAAACAATTGACAAGTGGTTACACCAGTCTATTTTCATCATGAATGCAGGTTATGTTGAATAGCTCATTTGACACAGGAAATAGATGACGCCACTTGCCGTCCCTTCAAGATTTCATTACAGGGCGATTTGGCGATTTTCGCTGAATGAACAGTCATGTATAACCCGTCAGACAGTCCATTTAGCCGTCATTGGTCAGACAGTCCATTTAGCCGTCATTGCATAGACAAACCAAATTTCTCTATGGGTCTACAGTAGGTATTTCCAGTTTACCAATGGAATTTGCTAATAGATTGCCGACTGGTCGGCACTGTATACACTTCCTCAAATTATTATTATTATTTATTATCAGAAAGCTGAAAACATTGAAATATTCTATTCATCTGAACTTGAATTTTGATTCCTAAACTCGAACCGCATCAATAATTAGGCATTGTGAGAACAAGTAAAAATGTCGATCCCAGTAAATTCATTGGATGATGCAGTGGAAGTAGCTAAGAAAGCTGTTAAGTTTGATGAAGAAGGAGAAACAAATATAGCCGCATATTATTATGAAGCTGCAGCAAGTCTTCTGGAACAGTTAGCTCCAGTCTCTGATTCTGAGAAAGCTGAACCCATGATGGCAAGTGCTAAACAATATAAATTGAGAGCTAATGACTTGAGAATGAAAACACCCAATGAGGGGAGAATTAAAGGAGATATGAATAATATGATGGCAAAACGGTGCTACTTTTTACTTCAACAGGCAATTGAGGAAGACGAACATGGAGACAAACAAGATGCTATTGAGCTGTATGCGAAAGCAGTGGAATATATCACCCAATTTCCAGATTTGATTCAAGGAGATCTCAAATCATTAACCCTCCAAGCACTAGATAGAGCTGAAGATCTGAAAGGTATAAAAAAACATCAACCTACAAGGTCTTCACAGCCTCTACATTCATCAACTGCTAATAGTTCATTACATGAGAAGTCTACATCTTCTGCAAAACCTGTACCCAAACCAAAACAAGCTTTTCACAGAGCATCCAATGTCAACTTGCAAGGGGCTGGAAATGACACCTACAGTGATGAAGAGAAGGAAGTACTCTTATTTACATCTCATATTAATAAAAGGGACTATGTTCCCTTCATGAGTATTGACTTGTTAGAAAAATTTCAATATTCTATGCCATTTAGTGATCAAGCTGGATTCCTCACCCTAGCCCCTAAACAAAAGAGAGATTTCTACAAGTTTGTTAGACCAGAAGAATTGTGCAGTGATCCCTGTATTGTATTTGGCTCAGTTCCCAATTACCTGAACATCAAACAAACTGTTATTTCAGACTGCTCTTTTGTGGCTAGTCTAGCAGTCAGTGCTTCTTATGAAAAGTCTTTTGGCAAAAAACTAGTCACTGCCATAATTTTTCCCCAGTCCAAAGATAAACAGCCTTTGTATAATCCATTTGGCAAATACATGGTCAAATTACATATAAATGGAATAGCAAGAAAAGTCATCATTGATGATAGTTTGCCTATTGATAAGTTTGGTAGATTGTTATGTTCCTATTCAAGCAATAAAAATGAGTTTTGGATATCCCTCTTGGAAAAAGCATATATGAAGGTTATGGGAGGATATGACTTTCCTGGAAGTAACAGTGTAAGTACATAATATTTCTTAAGTTATATCTGCAAAATACCACATGATAAATTGGTAACAATAGACATTTTTCCTCCAACCTAACCAGACAAACCAGGTTATCTTTATGATGATGTCATGGTAGCTTTATTATCACCTAAAGGTTTATTTTTAATGCTTGACAGATGTCAGTTTTTCAGCTGTTTTTATTTATTGTCTGGTCAAAGAATAGTAGGTTGTTTGGTTTTGGTAGTATTGAATAAGAAATTCATCACCTGTAACAATAACATAGATACAAACTAGGTACTTACCAACTTTCAAATTCAAGAAAATTGGAACAATTCACTACCTACATATTAACAATAAATCAAATATTCATCTTCATCAATGGTATGATGAGCTCTCTCATTGAAAAATACTTCATATGAATCCATAATTATCTCTTTGAGGAATATAATTATTTTTTCTCATCAATTATATAACCTCAGATCATAACAACAACAAGGGCCCAATCCAGTACCCAATCAAGAGCCTTAACTACTCCATGAAGTACCTCAGTGAGCTGGTTTGAGTGGTTGGTCAACTATTACATCATAGTTTGGAATACACTTCAAGGAAAATTGACTGGTCAACTTATTGTTGACCTGGTTTGTGTGGTTAACTTCTGGCTTATGTATAATGGACTAGTGGCAGCTCCTGGTAATTTTTTTTGGGTATTCTGTAATTTTTGAAAAAATTATCATCTATTTTTTATAAATCAAGTCTATCCTATGTTCTTTTTTGTTGGCAAATTTTTGTTTTTGCTTTGTTTTTATCAATAGAAAGAGCTGTAAACAATCCTTGGTCATTGAATTTTTGAGAAATGTTTTGATTTGTTTTATGGTTGAGGAACATCATTCAACCTACGATATTGTGGAAGTTGTTACCACAATTTCTGATAATTTTCTTGCCTCCTTCAATATATTGCCATTACAAATTTTAGAAGAGATAGTGTGCTACCAGGGGCGAACGGCAGATGAAAATTTGTACACCAGTCTTCACATTTTACTAAGACTTCACTGTCTTGTCTTCATTGAGACTTCACTGAATTCATCATGACTTCACTGACTTCATGAAGACTTCACTGGCTTCATGAAGACTTCACTGACTTCATCAAGACTTCATTGACTTCATTGGTACCTACTGTTTGGGACTATTTCACAAACTATGATACCTCTAGAGATATTTCATGGAGATATCAACATTCATTAATCATTCAATGACATTGAAGTGACGCTTGGTCACTATGATCGAATGTATAATATATACATATTTCCCAAATATAATATTTGATATTCTTCTCAATTCATACATAACTACCACACATTTTCTAGGTGTACCCTTATTTGATGTCCTGCAATAATAACTTGAATGAATAGACAGTTTAATTTGTAATCAGTTTGAAACCACCCACAAGTTCCGACCACACCTTCGCCAATTATTCCAGGCGCGCGCCATACCACCAATGGTCATTTATTACTAATTCCTGGCTGGCCATGAAATTACTAAAACCTCCAAAATTTGTCCATGGATGAAACTATTTTCTATTAATGTATTCCTCTAAGGGTCCTTAATAATCTGAATATCTCTTAATATTTCGTCGGGCAAGAATTAACCCCACAGGCCCCCTTTTTTTAAATTTCCAATAAAAAATCATAACTTTTTCAAAGTACACATGGATGGGAGTATTTTTCCATAAATTAGTTCCTTCGATGGTACTTGATGATGTGTATATCTCTCAATATTTTTTCGGTCAAGAACGGTCAAGAATTAACTCCACATTCCCCCTTTTTTGGAATTTTGAAATAAAAAATCATAACTTTATCAATATACACGTGGATGGGAGATTATTTTATGTGAATATGTTCCTCTGATGGTACTTGATAATGTGTATATCTCACAATAATTTGATAATGTGTATATCTTACAATAATTTATCAAGCAAGAATTAACCCAACAGGCCCCCTTTTTTGGAATTTAGGAAAAAAAATCATAACTTTTTCAAAACACACGTGGGAGTTTATTTTTCCATGAATGTGTTCCATTTATGCTACTTGATAATCCAAATAACACAATATTTTGTCTGGCAAGACCAAGGGCAAGACTCATTCCCACAGGCCTCCTTTTTTGACATTTCTAAAAAAAATCATGAATTTTTCATAATACTCATGACTGGGAGATTTTTCCTTCAAATGTGTTCCTGTGATGGTACCTGATAATGTGTATATCTCACAATATTTTGTTGGGCAAGAATTAACCCATAAAAATTGTGGCTCTCCATTAGGAACAATTTAGTAATAAGTAGTAATAAGGATGAACAGTTTCTAATTGTATTCATTGCCCTCCTGGGGAGCACTTTGCCCCTGTGTTTTTTCATAAAATCTTGTGGACTGGATATTTATGCAAGTCAAATCATCTCAATTTTCTCAAAAATCCATCAATCTCCTGACTGATTCAATGACTATGAAAGCAATATGTAGGTAATATAAGCAGGGGGTTTGATCAATTTATCAGCTGATATCATGCAAAAAAATTATATTGAGGGACATCATTTTGTAGGTGAAAAACTTCATCATTTCAAATTCTCCTCAAGTCCCTGAGATAGTATAGCTTGTTGGATGGAAGAGCAATTCCTGCCATGAGCAATCATGTGCAGGCATTCAATCCTGCCTTTTGTTAGGATATAAGCTAATTGCTGTACCTACAATAAAAGCATTTATTATTATTATTATAATAATGAAGGGCTAGGATAGGCACCCAGTATTTGGCAGACACTATAAATGAAATAAGAGACTGGCTACTACCAAAGCTGGCCTTTCGGAAGGTACCTATACCAATGAAACATAATGATATTTTGTGTTTGGAGCAGAATATCCATAAGACATTGATAGAATAACTAAGTTGAGTCTAACCTTCCTCTTCTAGATATTTATTTCAGATGGGAAATTTTCCATTCTGTTTGCAAACATCATCATCCTTCTGGAACATTTTTTCTGAAAATTACTCACATCAATCTGTTTGTATCACTCATAGTTTTTTGAAACTGAAAAAAAAAACTATCCCTGTATAGGTACTCTTTGCTGTAGATGTACCTGAAGTTTTTAAGTAGTGATGCCGATGTTTACATGGTTTACATCACTGAAAACAAATGTTTCCTCTGCAAATAACGGAATTTCATGAATTATAAAGTAATTTATCAAAAATATAAAAGGAAATAAGCAGCCCCTACCTTTCTGCTTGGCTTGCATGTCGAGAAAGTGTAAACAGTAATGAATTTTTCATCACAGCACTAATGAATTTCCGAGGATTCCATAGTTCCTACTCAAGGTTCATATAAATCCATGTGAATAAAAAAAAAGCATGTTTAAATATTAAAAAAAAAAAAAACTGGTGTATCAAGGTTTCCAATTATTAAAAACTCTTGTGAGATTTAAATGGAAATCTATCAAACGAATTTTGAGAAGAACATCAAAACTCCTCTTTTACAGGTTTATTTTAGTTTTCACGAAAACTCTTTGATAAATTTTTATCAAAATCTCAGCAGTTTTCAACAAAGAATTAAAATATGCTTGATTTTTGTGAAAATTTTTGAACTCACAGTTTTTCTACAACAGTGAATTACTCATTGAAAGTTGCTGTACAATCGATATTGATAAAAAAATCTGCAATATTTTGATTATTCATGTAAGATGTAACGAATACGGATTACTTGAGTCCTATTTCAGTTATAAACAATGATTTATTCGATTATTAAATAGGGCTCCAGCAGGTGCTGCCTCTGCTGGTAATAGTCATAATCTGATCGCTACTGTCCACGAGTATCACATGCCCATACGTCTAGACAAAGACAACCGATAAATGCTGATTGTTTCTAGCAAATCCTTCAGAAAAGCGTTTTTGGACAATTTTTTCCCTTATTGAATACATTCGCGGCAGAAGGAATGGGTGGGTGGGTGTTGAATTATTTCATGTTCACATAAAGAATATGTTAATTCAGTTGATTATTGTGATGAACAATGAATGGTTCGCAGATCAAATTTTTTATTGATAAAGAAAATGCCTTTCGAATTGGAAGTTTTTCGGACATGCATCAGGATACCTGCACTTCATTAACCGGAAAGTGAAAATTCCACCCGAAATAATAACTTTCTTGTTAAGTAACGACAGAACTATATATCTTCATGTATTGGTCATGAATATGGATACGGATAAAGTATGTGATTCTTTGGAAAGGGTGCACCCCGAATATTTCCGAAATTAAGACAAATATATATTATACAGGGTGTTTCAGATTTAAATGTACATACGATACCTGTAGATAGGGGACACTGTGATGGTTCCAAATTACCCCCCTTTGATGTGTCTACCGTTTTTTATAACTGAGATACAGGATGATATCTTGATTTTGGCAAAATCATCATCTGGTCATAGCTTTTGAACAACTTTGTATAATCTATCTATACTTGGTAGAACTATTTCACTTATATTACCCATCAAAACTAAATGAAAATCGGGATCAGAATCCAGGTCCGTCTTGAGGAAAAACAGAAAACTTCTTTTATATCAAAAACAACACTCTGTATGGCAAAATTTTTTAGATCTGTTTCAATATTTCAAAAGAGCAGGGAAAACGAATGAAGTGACCTACTTTTTACGACCGCGCATCCGATTTAACAGATGTTTTATTATTATTTTCTGATATACTCGGCTCCATTTTGAGTCATTTTTATTGAACTCGCAATTCAAAATCCAATTATTTCACAAAATAATAACGTCCTTCGAAGTTCAACATCAGTGGTGTGAAATAGATAAATCTGTTCGTTTGACAGAATAACGTCTGTGATTTTGGAGATTTTTGAGGGCTTGTTTTATTCTTCACTATTGATTCATGAGCTGCGGTAAATCTATCAATTGTTCACCTAATTTATTTTCAATGATGATCAACTTTGAAGACAATTATTTTTTTGTATCAAAATTGGATTTTGAAAAACAGTTCAATAAAATTTCCTCGAAATGGGGTGAATATTTCAAAACATAATAATGAACTATCTGTCTAATTGGATGCGCGCTTGTTATAAGTAGGTCACTACATAAATTTTTTCCTGCTCTTTCCAAATATCAAAACAGATCCACAAAATTTTGCCAGTCAGAGTGTTGTTTTTGAAATGAACAAGTTTTCTGTTTTTCCTTAAGACGGACCTGGATTCTGATCTCAATTCTTATTTAGTTTTGATGTGCAATATAAGTGAAATATTTCTACCAAGTATGAATAGATTATACAACGTGGTTAAAAAATTATGACCAGATGAAGATTTTGCCAAAATCAAGATAACGTCCTGTATCTCAGTTATAAAAGACGATAAACATATCAATGGGGGTGATTTGAAACCGTCAACTTGTCCTCTATCTGCCAGTATCGTATGTACATTTAAGTCTGAAACACCCTGTATAGTGTTGTAAAATTTCCAGAAATATATTTTCGGAAATATTCACTAGACTAGAATATAATAATATGGGAATATTGGAAATAATGGAAATAATGGAAATTTTGGAAATTCGCTATTTAGCTGTTCATGATGCGTATCCGGCTTGGCTGAGAATTTTTCCCAAAAATGTGTGATTTTTGGTTCTAAGCATGGCAGCACCTTGATGTCCTAGAAGTGGTTCGGAACAAAAGCAAATTTTGGAATGGTTCTATTTGCATTGGTCATGGAAACCTCGATGGAAAGTTTATTTCTTGTAACGAATTGCATCAATTTAACACATGGCGTTTCGGAAATATTCAAGAAATATCATCTTTAGGACCACCCTCTCAGGGGGCTGTAGCTCCCTCATAGGAGACATTTTTCGACTTATGTTCATCTGAACTTTTCTTCCTATTTTTGGTCGTAGAAGCCGGTTATGAAGTTCGACAGGGTAATTTAGGAATGTGGTTATTGATTTGAAAAGGTTTGAATATGTCTTCAAATATTCCATTTCCATAGAAAAATTACCAACTGAAATATTTCCACCCAAATCACTTATACAGGGTGAGCCACCAGTAACGCCTCGGTTTCTAGAAGGCTAACCACTTATCTTCTTGTAATTCTTCCTCTCTAGGAAGTTGCATGTCAACATAGACTACCATTTGAAATTATTTTGAAACATACAGGATGTTCCCAAAAATCACAAAACACTGAAGTTGAACTTTTTTCAATCGAACACCCTATATATTATTTCATTTTGAGATTCTCCCTGGTGAGCTGATTTCAACAATCCATCATACTTGGGGTCTAGCAGTTATAATTGCTGAGATATAGGGTGTGAGAAATCGAGATTTTCCAAGTTCAAGAATTTTTTGTGTCTAAACCATTCATAATTGGTCAAAACGGCTCACATG